CCTCGCCCGCCCCGCCGAGGCCGTGCCTCCGCCTCTCCTTCTCTCGCTTCTCCTTGGGTCTGCGCGGCTTGGCGCTGGCCGAAGAGGCAGCGGCGGGTGGCAGGAGACGGTGAGGCTGAGCGTGCAGCAGCGTAGGAGGGACCAGCAGTTTGCGCGGCACCGGCTGAGACGAGGAAGCGGAGGCTGGGGAGGGGACGGCCGTGCCCGCGGAGAAAGAAAAACTGCTCCGAGCAGAGGACGGGGAGGGGGTAGCAGACAGAGCGGCGAAGCTCCAAGACGTGGAGCTGCCATAGCTTTGCGGGGAAGGTGCCGCCGGCGGCTGCAGCTGCCTGCTGTTCCCGCCGCTGCTCCCTTCTCCGTTCAGTCTCCGCGGCGCCTTCTTCTCCTCAGTCCGCACCTTCTTGGCGGACAGAGGACCCGGTGGGTCCCGGGAGGCGGGCTGCAGCTTGCCAAACAGGTCTTTCTCCGAAACGGCAGCGGCGGTAGCAGCGCAGCGCACCGAGCTCGGCGGCTCCGCCATTTTGCGCTCCTGTTGTATTTACTCTCCTCCGCTCCCGGGCGCGGGGCGGGGGCGGGCCCTCGGCGAGGGGCGGGGGGGTGGGGCGTGGGGGCCGCCGGCCGGGCCCTCCATTGGGCGAGCCACGCCGAAGGATCCCTCTAGAAGCCAATCAAAGGCCCAGATCTCGAGCCGAAGAGGCGGGGTCGCCAAGCGTACCCGCTTTGGAGGTCACAGCTCCGTGGGGCGGGGCGCGGCCAGTGGCCCGGGGAGCTGCGAGGGGGTGGGTCCTCCAATTATCGCCAGCGTGAACTCCGGTGGCCCGTGAGTGTCCGGAAAGAACACCCACTCCGGACCCCCAAAATACCCCAGCCTGGGTCGCGCTCGTATCTGCTTCGATGACTTTGTCTTTATCACGTTCTCTTCATTTTTCTCTTGGGTCCCTTTGGTCCCTTCCTGCCTCTTCGTGTCCAGAGAGCCGAATTCCGCAGATTCTCAGCTCAAAGGAGAAAATTTTGCAGGGAATTAAGTCCTTGTTGTCAGTAGTCGATTTGATGGGAGGGACTGAAAATCACTTGGTGTTTTGACAAGATTTGTTACTGTTTCTAAAATCGTCAAATGTTATACTTTGAGGGAGATAACTTCCTGCAAATCTAGACTTCTGGATTACTTCTGAGTTTGAAGGTAAGAGTCTTCGTGGAGAATTTTTTTTTAACCTTTGTGATTGGACCCTTAAAGACTTAAAGTTTATTATGATTATTAAAACAGACTCGCTAAGAAAAATCCTTTAGCAATATTTATAGATGTTTGAAAAGCGAGATTTTTTTGTGTGTGTCTGTATTTTAGCGTTTAGTTAGCACCCTGAGTGTTGGATGCTTGGTAAGCGTGTGCTTTGATTTCTGGCTTAGAAGATAAGGAATTTGGAGAGATGGGTTACAGTAGTATGGTTGCAACCAAAGCGAGGAGCACAATTTTAATTGAACTCTTAAGGTCTCACATGAGATCAAAATGTAAAAAGAGTAGATGTAAAAATAGTCAAATCGAGACATGACCATTCAGAGGACATTTTGAGTCCTAAAAGGAGTCCTAAATTGCCTGTAACTTTATAGAAAACTATTAAAAGTAACTTTCCAGGATTTCCAATACTTACTTGTGACCTCCTGAAGTTAGATTTTTGTCCCGCACCCCTTTTTTATTTTTTTATTTTTTAAAGACTATTTTAGAATCAAAATTTAATATTTTTTATTTTCATTAATTAAAAAATTTTCAATTACAGTTGAGATTCAATACTATATTAGTTTCAGGTGAACAGCATAGTATTTAGATAATTATATAACTTACAAAGTGATCCCTCAATAGCCTTGCACCCACATGACACCATACATAGTTATTACAATATTATTGACTATATTCCCCATTCTGTACTTTACATCTCCATGACTATTTTGTTACTGCCAATTTGTACTTCTTATCCCTTCAGATTTTTCACCCAGCCTTCCAACCCCCCCTCCCATTTGACAATCATCAGTTTGTTCTCTGTATCTATGTTTGTTTCTGTTTTGTTTATTTTAGTTTTTAGATTTCAAATATAAGTGAAATTATACAGTGTTTGTCTTTCTCTGTGTGACTTATTTTACTGAGCGTAATATCTCTAGGTCCATTCATGTTGTCTCAAGTGGTAAGATTTTATTCCTTTTTATGGCTGAGTAATATTCCGTTGTTTATATGTATTACTTTATCCATTTGTCTTTTAATTGGAGTATTTCATCAGTTTATATTTAAAGTTATTATTGATTGGTATTTAGTTGTTGTCATTTTATTAATTTTTTATGATTGTTTTTGTAGTTCTCTGTTCCTTTCTTATTCTCTTGCCCTCTTGCATGTTGATGACTTTCTGTAGTGTTTTTTGAGTTCTTTTCTCTTTATTTCTTGTATACCACTTGTAGATTTGTGTGTGTGTATGGCTACCATGTGTGTCATTTATCCAAAGCTATGTTTATAGCAGTATTTTAAGTTGATGGTCACTTAAATTTAAACACATTCTAAAATCACTACCATTTTCACTCACCCCCTTAATGTTTATGTTTTTGTCATTATTTTTTTACTCCTTTTGTTAGCGTGTGTGTGTATCCCTTAATTTACTGTTGTGATTATACAGGATCTTTCTGTTTTGCTTTTTAACCTTTCTGCTAGCTTTAATGTTTGCTTGAATTATGAATTTGCTTTTATCAGCGAGAATTTTTTTTAACATTTTATTTTTTATTTTTTCACCGTCCCCCTCCCACCTCCTCTCTAGTAACCTTAATATTGTTTTATAGACTTTTAGGGTACCTCAGAATCTTAAGGTAATGAAAGTATTTGCTTCCTTTAATACATAACAATGGAAGTAAAGGAAAACCTTATAGTTGGAATTGACTGGCAGCAGATGTCTTCATGAAAAGTAGCATTGATGGAAGAGTGGACAGAGAGGATAGGGCTGGAAATCATCTGCTACTAACTAGCTTTGTGACCTCAGTCAGTGTGTTTCATCCGTCTGTCAGAACCTCTTTTATTTGTTAAGTGAGTAAATTTGATTACATGATTATTCATGCTTTAAACTTCTGCCTGCCTTATTCAAGAAGCTTTTCAAAATCACACTGAAACCAGTACAATTAAAATAGCTTCTTGATTGTTGACTCTCCAGATGTAAAAAATGTTTCTCTTCTATATATTAATGTAGTGCCTGGAAACTTGCACCATTTATTCCTTCATCTGCCACACAGATGTCTGGAAAAATCTGACATGAGGGCCCAGCTAAAGTGAACTCTCACCTGCCTGAATTTGTTACATACTCTTATCAGGCCTGATTCTAAATTTGAGGAGCCTGGGCAAGAATAGGGCTATGGAGGCTCACATACCATGTGTCTATAAATGTTTAGGTTATAAAAAAATATGATAAACTTATAAAAAAATTCTACTCTATTACCTTGACAAATCTACCTTAATAATAATCTGGAAGTCCAGATTTAGATTTCAAATTCTAAGACTTTAGAGTCGTCAGACTGACCCTATTCTCTTTCCATTCCCACCACACCAAAAGGGACCGTGCAGGCATGCACTCAACATGTCTAAACTTATGTTCATACCCCTCACCCCTGCAGATAGTGATGTGTAATCGGTAACTGGGTCTGCCCTCAGATCTAGCGAGTCTAAAAGAGGAATGCAGGCTCCGGGCAGGCATGCCCCCTTGACCATTTATAGCAGAAAGAGGGTCCTTACCCAAGTCTAAGGGCAGTATTATTATAAGACATATCAATTATCTGTTTTCTCTCCCATGTGTTCAGCCATCCCCTTTCAACTAGGTCATTTCTAACAACATTGAACCGGGAGAGAATTCTCACCAATATCACCAATTCCTACTAGCTTCATCTCTACCAGCGCTAAAACCATCCACTTCCCTCCATGTCCACTGTTGGAACCCTACTCTAAGTACCACCTCCTCTGACCTGAATGACTACCCTAGCCTTTTTTTCTGGTCTTCTTATATTCTAGTTTTCCGAAATCTGTTCTCCATTCTACCCAAAACGCTCTTGTCAAAACTTAAATCTGATCATGTCACTTTTCTTGCTTAAGACCCGTCAATGGCTTCCATTGCTCTTAAGATAAAGAACAAAATCCTTAATATGACCTACAAGACCCATCATGATCTACCCACTTCCTCTTCTATATCAAGTGAAAAAGGTCTTTAATTACCAGAATGCACCATGCTATCTTTTAGCATAAGAATATTGTATATGTTGTTCCCTCTTCCTGGAATGCTTTCCTCTTTACCTAATGCTTATGTGATGGTTTGGGTGGTGAGCATAACAGAGGCATTTCCACCATCACTTCTTGCCTTCAGGCCTCAAGTCAACTTGCATTTTGTCAATGATTTCCTTCCTGATTGGGTCTGTCTGCCTCTACATGCTGCTACCAAAATTTTATTTCTAAAATATAGACCTGGTTGCTTCAGCCCCTTCAATAATTCCCTTTTCCATATCGAAAAAATGTCATATTTTTAATGTAGATACTAGCTATTCTTGATATAACCCCAGCACTTCTGTCTCTCACGCTCCTACAGCTTTTATCTGTTTCATCTATTCTGAACTATGTGTAATTGCCAAAAGAGTTGCATTCTCTGTTCCTCTATACATTGTTTCCTCTGCCTGGAATACCCTAACAAAGTTATACTTATCCTTAAGATTTGGTTCAAGCATCTACCTAGTACGGTGCTTCTTGACCTGCCAAATCAGAGTTGATCATTTCTTGCTCCATCATTATTCTGCTGCCTAGGATCATTTAACATATTGATCTCTGCATCTAACCTGTGAGCTCCTCAACAGCAGGTGTAATGCACTATTTATATTTGTATACATTGTATCTGGGATGTGGTCAGTGCTCAATAAATAAATTGTTGAAAAGAAGTATATAAAGTACAGGTTTGTGATCTTTATGATAAGAGGAGGACCAGAGGTTCCAAACTTAAATGCCAAATGGTCTTGGTAGATTAAAAAATAATAAGAATAAGGCAGATTGAATGTAATATAATAAGAAGTGGTGAGGACTGTGGAAAACTGGGACTAAATGCCTTATCTACAAGGTACATTTGTTTCTCTACTCTAGCTGATTATTCCCATATGGAAATGAAGTGGGACTACTTCCTAAATATCTAGACTTTTTAAATATTAAGATTCCTGAAAAACTGGGCAAGTCAAACAAAACATCTATGGATCAGATTAACTGGTCTGACTTCTGATCTAGAAAAGAATGGCTTAGTTTGGCTAAGGTAGCTTTTGAGAGTTTTGTTTGTTTTTAATCCAAGCCCTACCTTTGTCAACTACTGGAACAGATGCTAAGCAAATATACTTAAACTTCCAACCATAATAAATGTGTGTTAACAGTGCTTAGAGCTGTCCTTTGTACCTCTTAGAACCTGGTTTTTCTGTACATGATGTCTTCCAATATTCCTAAGCTGAATGGCATATTCACTCTGCAGGTATACTATCCTCTGGCCTTGACCAGGTTCCTGACTCTCT